CCTCCCCACATCTCCCAATAAGATAAAAAATGATTATCCATTTCAACTTGAAATAGATTTCATGACACAAATTGTCTGTCTTTTGGAGTTTCTATTTTCTGAAAACCATGGGTGGATGGGATGAGTCATATCGCTTGGATTCCAAAGAGGCAAGTGTTGGTACTTTTAGCTTCTTCTTACAATATTTATGATGAAATGTGAAAGTTGTCTACATTGTCTGATTATATGCCATTTGTTTACTTTGATTTGCGTGCTGGGTGCTGGGCTTGCTCAAGATTCTTATGTACTTATTTCTCTATAATTTGAAAGAGAATATAAGACCAAAACAGTTGCTTTCTTATTTATGTTGTTTGTAACATCATCCCCTTCCTTTTTTCTTTTCTTTCCTACATCTGAGAGGGAAGAAAAGATGGAATTATGAAGTAGAAAATTTGGATATTGTTGCTCATTTTGTTGCAAGCTTTTAATACCTGTTCAACTTTTTGTAGTGTGGATCTGGAAGATCGGTTGCTCCCATCAAGGCTGGTTTTGTTGCTCGTGTTGGCCGGCGGAAGGCTGGGACCTGAGCTGGGTTCTAGGATTGTAGTTGGATAATTTTCTCTCGTACTTTTTTTTTTTTTGGTTTCCCAACCGGTGTCCGGTACCCACATTGGGGCCCGACTAAATCCGGATTCGCGCCGGGAAGTCCCACATTGGGGGTAAAGCGCTCCCTAACATACTTGAATTAGGTAAAGTTTTATTGCAGCTGAGCTGGCTTCTGCGATTTTGGACAAGTTGTTCGTAAAGTTCTACTGTTGGAATTATACTTGTGGTTATGTATAACCTATGATAGTTGTTACTTGTGCTGCTTTGCGCATGAAGAGAAGCTGGTTTACATCCTGTTCGGAAAGTTAGGGGTCGTTTGGTAGGGTGCATAAGAATAATGCTGAGTAAGGTGTATTAGTAATGCTGGTATTACTTATGCTGGTATTAGTTATACTGACATATTTTTTATCCATTGTTTGGTTTGATGTATTAAAGCATTGCACAATTTCTGAAAGAATTGCTTGTTTACGAAAATGTCCTCAAAACCACTTATTAAAAAAAAACATATGTTGATAAATGTTTTTATATGAAGAAGTTTCAAAAAAATTATTTGATTTGGCATTCCCTAAGCTTGTCACGTGTATTATTTATAATAAAAACTACACCCAGCCATATCTTGAAAACCCAACCCGCTTTGACACTGTAACCTGTTTCTTTAAAATAGGGGTGTTCATAAAAACCCGAAAAATCGAACCAAACCGAAAACCAAACCAAATCGACCAAAAAATCGATACTTTTTGGTTTGGTTTGGTTTTGGTTTTGAATTTTAAAAACCGATCAAATTTGGTTTGGTTTTGATTTTAATCAGAAAAAAACCGAAAAATAACCGAACCAAACCGATTATAGGAGTAGCTATTTCAAATTTATTATTACACCTATATATATGTATATTTTTACACAAAGTTTCAAAAATTTAATGGTAAATGTTAATAGTTGCACTTTTAGTATAGTGCTTTACCTTTACATTCTAGTTTGATTGGTAGTTTTCTTTTGTTAAGTGTAAGAATCCATTTCGTGTTAAAAATAATATATTTTTTATTAAGTTCTTAAATTATTCATCACTATTTGATACAATTATCATCAATATATCTTGGTAAATAATAGATTTCTCAAAGGCATTTGATTTGATAGTGTTACGTTGAAAATGTGGTCTCCGGAATATGTGTTTGGTAGTGTATGTCTTATATTTAAGAAAAAACCAACAAATAATCGAAAAAACCGAAAAACCGACAAAACCCGACATAAATCGAATCGAGAAAAAACCGAATTAATTGGTTTGGTTTGGTTCTAATATTTGAAAAACCGACTTACTCGATTTGGTTTCTTTTTAGGGAAAAAGCGATCCAAATCGAACCATGAAGCCCCCTACTTTAAAACATAAACCCAAGATCCCTGTTAGCAATATGATATTAGCAATATTTACTATGGACTAGATAAGGAATTTCATTGGTTACATTGTAGTAAAGAGTCTAAAAATGCAGATGCTGGTGAAGCTTTGACACGAGTGGGAGTATAACCAAATGCAGCGATTTTGACTCAAATTTCTTACGTAACACAAGTAACAATTAAGCAGAAATATGCCTTGTCCCGATAACTAATTACATGGATCCATTCTTTTCATGTCTTTTGCAAGAGAATTGAAATTTACAATGACAAAATGAGATGTAAGAAGATGGAACTACATGGATCCATTAAACAAAGACAAGAGCCTAAGGACTCAAAACTTTTCAAGAACCTAAAGCTTAGAACATTAACCATTTCAAAGACTCTTGAACACCCTCACAACACCATTTCAAAACTGAAGCAGTTAAAATACCAGCACATTGACATGAACTGAATACCAAGGCCTGAAGTCTCTGCTGCAAATTAATACAATGTCAAGGCCTAAAGAAACTGCTACGATTGACATGAACTTCAATTTAAATAAACAACTGATAGAAAGACTGCTGCAAACTGAAGCAACTGCTTCAAAATATCATTGACATGAACTGAAGGCAAGGCCTGAAAAAACTGAAGAATGGGGTCCTAGGTTTATGTTTAAAGAAGCGGGTTACCAGGCAAAGCGGGTTGGATTTTTTGAGATATGGGTGCGTTTAATTTTAATTATAAATAAAACACGTGACATGCTTAGGGAATGCCACGTGGCTATTCTAAAGATTCAAATTTATCCATCCATGGTCTGTTAGTTTCAGGGGTATATTTGAGCTTAAAAAACCATTAAAAGTATTTTTAGACCAAAAAATTAACTGAAAGCATTTGTGAGCCATTTTTCAACTTTTGGAGCTCATTTTGAGGACTTGGGGTAAATGATTCTAACCTAAATCTATGTATTATACATGAAATTATCACAAGATTAAACATCAAAACATGAATTTGAGCAAGTGAATTTGGATTATTTGTCTACAAATTAAGAGAGTAAAAATTGAGGTTTTAAGCATCAATTTGGATTTGGATTTGAAAACAAAATACATATTTGGACTCGTAGGGTTATGAGTAAACATGATCTACCCCTAGACTTAGGTTTTGACCATGTGGGCCCGAGTTGACTTTTATTGACTTTTTTGAGAATTGAATAAAGATTGAAGCTTTATTGTTTGAAAATCAAGTCATATGATTTTATTTAACCTTATTGAGTATTATTTGGTTAGATTTGAGCCGGTTGGAGATGATTTCTAAAGGAAAGACAGTTTGGAGGGTTGATTAGGCTTCCAAAGGTAATCTTGCCTAGACTTGGCTTGAGGGAATCTACCTTAGGAAATTGACATTGTTTGATTGTTTGCTATGTATTGGGGGCGTCGTATATGCATGTTGGCTAGCGTATATGCGAGTACCATGGGCTATTCATGCTCGGGATAGATTTTCGACTACTCTAATGCTTTGAAATAAGATAACATGCTATTTATGACTTGTTGTTATTCTGGTGTGACTACATTAGCTTTCTTACTTATGCTAGAAACCATGTTTTAGGCGTTTGATACCTCGTTGAGCGTAAATGGATAATTGCGACTTCATGTCCTACTTGTTCTAGTTGTAGTCATACTGTTCACATGCACGTGTCTTTGCATGTAAATCTCTTATGTCCATATACATCATTTACGTTATTTATGGCGTTTATGCACGCACTATGTATATGAAAACTTACATATGGACTGAGGTTGAGGTACGTGAGTTGTCCGTATAACATGAGTTGTCCATGAGAGTGATATTATTATGAGCACGTGAGTTGTTCGTGTAGCACATGAATTTGGATCCGTCCCTCAATAGTCAGATAATCACCCATTGTACCTTGAGCCATGCGTGCGCGAGTTTATTGGACACATGGGGAGTGTCAGTTGATGGCTTCGAGTCTTATTCATGCATAGAAATTATATTCTCATGTACTCGACATTTATAATAATGCTTTGTGAAGCATATCATCTTTATATGCTGATTTGGCGTGCCAGTAGGGTTTCACCTACAAGACTGGGGTAAGTGTCTAACATAAATCTATGGATTATACATGAATTTATCACTAGATTTAACATCAAAATATGAATTTGAGCAAGTGAATTTGAGATTTTTGTCTACAACTTAAAAGAGTGCAAAATTGAAATTTTGAGCATCGATTTGGACTTGGATATAGAAACTAAATATATATTTGGACTCGTAGGGTTATGGGTAAATGAGATCTATCCCTAGACTCGTGTTTTGACCATATGAGTCTGGTTGACTTTCACTAACTTTTTGGTAATTGATTAAAGATTGAAGCTTTATTATTTGAAAATCAATTACTAAGATTTTATTTGACCTTATTGAGTATTATTTGGCTAGATTTGAGCCGGTTGGAGATGATTTCTAGAAAAAGGCAATTTTGGAGGGTTGATTTGACTTCTAAAGGTAAGTATCTTGCCTAGACTTGGCTTGAGGGAATATACCTTAGGAAATTAACCTTGTTTGATTGATTGCTATGTACTGGGGACATTGTATATATGTGGTGGTCAGCGTATATACGAGTGCCATGTGATATGCATGCTCGGGGTAGATTTTAGGCCACTTTAATTCTTTGAGTTTACATCATATGCTATTTATGACTTGTTGTTATTCTTGTGTGAGTGCATGATCTCCCTCAGTTATGCTAGAAACCATGTATTAGGTGTTTGGTACCTTTTTGACCGTAAATAGTTAATTGTTACTTTATGTCCTACTTGTTCTAGCTGCATTCATACTGTTCACATGCACATATCTTTGTATGTAAATCTCTTATGTCCATATACGTTATTTACATTATTTATGGTGTTTATGAACACACTCAATATATGGAAATTCTCATATGGACTAATGTTGAGGCACGTGAGTTGTCCGTGCAATATGAGCATTATGGCACGTGATTTGTCCGTGGCAGTGATATTATTATGATCACCTGAGTTCTCCATGCAGCGCATGGATTTAGATATATCCCTTTGGAGTTAGGTGATCGCCTATTGTACATCGGGCCTTGTGTGTGCACATTTGTTAGAAACTTAGGGAATAGTCGATTGATGGCAGCGAGTCTTATTCATGCATAGACATTATAGACTCATGTACTTTGACATTTATAATAATGCTCTGTGAAGCATGTCATCTTTATATGCTGATTTGGTGTGCCAGTAAGAGCTTTTTGATTTTATTGTTGTGGCACCCCGTTTTCTCACGAAAACGGGTTTGGACATGTGACAACTCTTATAAATGGGTATTAAAAGAGAAGAGTCGCCACCTAGCGATTTTTAAGGTGAGTTAGGAAACCTTTTTACAAATAACTTTGTTTTAACTAGTCAGTATTGCCAAAGATCGGGTAAGGGCTCAAATTACCTCGAAAAGAACATATTAGGCACTTTTTGAGGTCCACAACTGTGGTTCCCAAGTGAACATACAAATTGATTATTGTCAAACTAAGTGAATAAACGATCCAAGCAAGTTATTAATTATTCTAGATGGAGCAAGATGACCGAATATAATCCAGCTACTAATAATTATCTAATTTGAAGAAGTGGTTTAGAAATAAAGCAAAGAGAAGAAAATCATTGACTAATATTAATTGGTAAAACCTTTTGGTTACAAAGATGTTCAACCTTAGAACTACTTAATAAATCTAAATCTCTTAGTAATTCTAATTCTTAAGACTAAATGTATAGGAACAATTAGACACAATGAGAGTCCTAAATCTTTTAGCCGAAAGGATCACCCCCTACAACATAAATAATACTTCGCAACTTTAAGTGCAGTGGTTGCTCATGTTATCCAGCGAGCACAAACTATCATATCCAGCTACCCGATTTACTATCTTTAAGTTGTTTACCTAAAGCGTACTAATTCAATCCTAAGTCGTACCCTATATGTGCCTACCCGTCCCACTGCCTAT